TCATCTAAGCTCCCTAACTCTTTTTTGGGTACATTCCAAGACCTTTCACCAGCATTTACACCTGGTAGAGTTGGCCTTGGTACCGCACTACAGGGCGTCAGTGACAAGTTGGGTTGCTCACTTTGACGAATTTTTTCTCGAACATGAATTATACCTATAATTGACGCTCCTCATCTAACGTATATCAGCTTGTCCTTCCATGTTTCGGTAATCTGGGCCTTGTATAAAATTCTGAATACATCCTTCGGTATTAGCCATCGTATTTGCCATACTCGAAGAGGTATTCTCATGACCATCCTCTATTTCATGCTAGCACGTGTGCGATAACCTTACTTAAGGCGGCAATAGAACCTTTACCTTTCCGTATGCGTTCTTACTAAGTCTCATATGTAGTTAATGATATAACATTTATCATCTCTTCTATCTCCCACAAATTTTTCATCAAATTTCATGGGGTCCTCTGGTATATGCTCTGTCTATTGGAACCATTGGTGTAAAATTATTTCTTTTCGATCGCCCATTTTTGTTCTTATTACAACCCTCTTAGTCTCTCATGTTATCAATCTTGTAGTTTAAAGTCAACCTACCTATGCGGCTGCATTATAATCAATAGGCATGTATATGTGGATTGATAAGTCTCATATTCTGGCATTGAATTCATGGACTACCTCGATGATTATACCAGTGTGCTAAAAGCATTTTGTGGTTCTCTCTAGTGGGTCTGTATTCACCCTGTACCTCGTATTATCCTTTCATAATGTGAAACTTGTTAAGATGCTTGCCACTAGTATACCTTCTTCTTTATAAACCATTTCCCTAAATTTGGAAGTTGGTTTCTTTGCTTGATTCCCCTCATTGGTGCTGTCTTCCCTTGGATCATATTTCTTACTCCTTTCTGTGATACCTCTTTATATGGTTAGTTGTGTCTTTTCTCCAAAAGTGTTTGTTTTTTTGATTTTATTGCTTTCTACTTTAGCAAAGTTTTATATAAATTTGACAAAGTACCCGTTTATAGACTACTTTACTTATTTACTCTTGTATTTTATATCGTTTAGTGTTAATATATGAGTTGCACTCAAGTTGACATTGTAGTCACTCAACGCAGAGTCTGTCTGTTATGTTCAGCTATATTGGATTTTTCCTTGTCCATGATTATGTTGTGCTCTCCATATTCTTTAGTTTCTCTGCTGATTTCTATCCCTATTTCTTAAAATACCTGTACTCTTAGTTGCTGCAAGTGATGCATGCAGTTTGGGTAGGCTAGTGAGCAATGCTGTTTTTTTTAAAGATATGAAGACTAAGATGGTGTGGTCTCTAGTATATTCGAGGTTACCTTTCTTTATCTAGAAGTTGTTTAACCTTGTTTTCGCAACTTGGTCGTATTTTCAAGAAGACTTAGAGGAACGCACCTTGTCCAGAGTCGATAGTATTTATGATAATTTCCAGAGTCGGACCGTACACTTGGTACATTAAAAGACGCTTCGCCGGTATCATAGGAATACAGGATTACACGCCAGTATATTTTCATATACAAAAGCTGTGACCATATTCGCTCCCCTTTCTGCATCACTTTGGCCCTCTTGAATGCATATGGGACAAGCATAAAGCAGCCAACCAAGTAATGGAATGCTTCATTAAGATCGCAAAGTGAGGTATAAGAAATAAATAGTATCTCAGTTGGCCAGCTTTCTTGGTTTAGGTTTTTTGGTGATTGTTCGTGAGTAATGGCTTCTGGCCATGACGATATCCGTCACATGAAGAACGAAAGATCAGCACGGAGTCATCGCAGTCGTAAGACGATGAGACAAGGTCTTCTTAGCACAATTCAACAGACAAAAGTCCAAGCCAACACTTCTTCGGTATTCGGTGACGCTAATCTACGACTTCCTTTCATCCACCTTCTCAAACGAGATGAAAGGTATTTCATTATCAATCTACTAATGGATTATTAGAAACCCAGCTTCTCTTCATATTTCAAAAAACAACACTCTTCACATGTCTGCCCATGCAACATGAGAGAGTGGACAAGCTGGATTGTTCGGGAGTTTGCTGCATAGCATACGGCGCCTGAAGACAGAAATATGTTGGTTAGACAGGGAAATGTATAAGCATATGAATCAAGGAACATCAAAGGCTCGGCAGGAAAATTAATACTGAAAGATCAGAATCAGTGGAACAATTCGCAAGGACTGGACATACGATCAATTGGAAGGCAACTGAAATAAGGGCCTCATACAAGGAAACGGAAGATTATGGAGGCAATTAATATCATTGGGGAAAAAATCGAATGAACAGGAGATTGGAGGAAGGCAGTATTAGCGATTACTTTGCCTACGACTTACTAAACTCGGGGAAAACAAGGATATCGCAAGACCAGCAAAAAGGAAACGTCTGGATCAAGAACCTATCAAAAAAGGGAGTGCGAGGAGGAAGGGGTTGGAGAAATTCCGGAAATCAAGCGACGACATTCTCACTGAGTGAAGTCTGCTTGAAGAAATTAGTGTAACTTTGGAGGCCTGACAGTCATGAAACTAGGGCGACGGATAATCACAACCGTCACATAAATTCAACATTATGGCCAAAATGAAATCCACTCGAAATGAAGCAGGCGACCAGGGATAGGTGTCAGCAGTTTGCTCAGGTTACACGAGTTTAATCAAGGAGATGATCCGTGAAGGCAATACCTAATATCTACAAGCATGGAAATCAGAGCTTATGTGTCAGGCTTGCTAATGAGACAGTGGATGTGTTTCTAAAGACTTGAGAAATAGCGCCTGAGTTAAAACGTACACATGGATTAGAACCGA